ATTCACATTATGTGCCTTGTGAGAAGGTGAGCCATGCTTCAAGCTTTGTGAAAATGTCCAGCCAGAAACTCGCCTCCTCAAAGTCCCCCAAGTGCACACTTACACTTGGGAAGTGGGAGCCCCACGGGAGTTCTTGGTCCTGGAACCCCTTCTCTGCCAACGTGACCATGCCGCCTCCATGTGCTGAGCAAGAACAAGGCCCGGCCGCGAGAGATGGAAATGTATTATAATGATTTCAACAAAACATTTCTGAGACTAGTGAATGGAATTGAAAAGGAGCTGATTCTCAGGAAAGCAGCCATTTGGAACCACAGACCGAAATGAAGCAGCTTTTCCAGCTACAATCGCCATGACAATAAACTGACCTTGGAACCAGACATTATTTTTATCATAGTGATAAAACCAGGAGTTGCAAAAATAATGAGGGATATACTAGTATATATTTGATTTCAAAGAAGAAGGGGAGGGAGAAATAGTAATGAGAATCATTGATCAGCTTCCTCTCCTGCACACTCCCTCCCCCCTTCTGGGGACTGAGCCTGCAACCTAGGCATGTGCCCTTGAATGGAATTGAACCTGAGACCCTTCAGTCCACAGGCTGATGTTCTATCCACTGAGCCAAACCGGCTAGAGCAATACTGAGGCATTTTTAATCATAAGGCTCTCACTAAAAGAAGAATTTTTAGAAAGAGCAAAAGGTGATGTGTTTTTTTAACCATACACACACACAAAAATATTTTAAAACGTTTAACCTCGTCTTTTTTCTATTTTCTTACATGTATTAGCATAGTACATAGACATGATTTTAAAAGGTCTATGTACACATATACATACACATACATGCTGGGGGCAGCACTCAGCGGCATGTGGTCAGGTGACTGATTTATGCGTATTTCTGTTTGTCATTGTGTGTGTATATACATGGAGCAAACTTCTCCAGACCCAAGGAAATATTAACTATGCTGTCTTCTAGCTTTTTATAACTTAATTGGCTTTGGTGAATGGTACAATAGGAAATCAATTTAATTTTCTCTAGTTATACTAATGCCTTTTACTGAATAATCCATCATGGCTGCAATTATTTCAAAAAGCCATCTTTATTTGCACTCTTGGGTCTATTTTTAAAACAATTTTCCATTAGCTTGTCTATTTTTGCACCAGGGTAAAAAATTAATTTTTCTTTTAAAAACATTATTCTTTTGTTTTGGCACAGCCAAGTTCCTTTTATTCCTCTTTCAATGAAGATTTTCCTACTTTCACGTTAATACTTCCATATGATTTTTAAAGTCATATATATTTAAAACAAATAACAATTCTCTATCTTTTTGAAAAGCCATTCTGTGCATTCCCTTCATAATAGTCATCCAATAAGTTCATCATGCAATCTTCTACAAGACCACTTAATGCCACCATTATAGGGGCACACTATAATTAATCAATCCCTATTGTTGGGCATTTAGGTTTCTAATTTTTTTTTTTTAAGGTAAAATTGACCTATTACATTAGTTTCAAATGTACATCGTGGGTTGTTTTTGTTTTGTTTTTTTAATATACTTTATTGGTTTTTTACAGAGAGGAAGAGAGAAGGATAGAGAGTTAGAAACATAGATGAGAATCATCCATCAGCTGCCTCTTGCACACCCCCTACTAAGGATGTGCCTGCATCCAAGGTACATGCCCTTGACTGGAATCGAACCTGGGACCTTTTGGGTCCGATGCTCTATCCATCGAGCCAAACCAGTTTCAACCATGGTGGGTTTTTAATTGATGTTAAAACTCTATGCTCTTAATGATCATTAATTTTATCTTCTGCATGATTATGAGGAAGGAGTATTAAAAATGCCTGTTATGTTGCCGGGACTGGTTTGACTCAGTGGATAGAGCGTCGGCCTGCGGACTGAAAGGTCCCGGGTTCGATTCCAGTCAAGGGCATGTACCTTGGTTGCGGGCACATCCCCAGTGGGGGGGGTGCAAGAGGCAGCTGGTCGATGTTTTCTCTCTCATCAACGTTTCTAACTCTCTGTCCCTCTCAATTCCTCTCTGTGTAAAATCAATAAAATATATATTTTTTAAAAATGCCTGTTATGCTTGTAGATCACTCTATTTCTCCCTGTAGTTAAGGTCATTTTTTTTCTTTATATGTATTTTGAGGTATGCTAGTATTATTAGTCACTTAGGTGCATACTTAATACACTTAGAATAATCATATCCTTCTGGAAAATTAAGCCCATTGCCATATATAGAGGCCCTATCACTAGCAATCTGGGGGTGGGTGGGAGTGGGTTTAATATTAATATGGAGAAACTTAAGTTCAGAAAAATAACCTACCAAAGAACATATACTAGTTGAGACTAAACTTTTATTCTCACTTTATATATGTAATGCTGTTTCTACTATATCATGTTTTTTGAAATTCAAATGTTTTAGAATTTTGGGTTATTGCTAAATAGGCCAATTGAGAAAATAAACAAATATATACTAAAAACTGCTAATAATGCTAATAGAAGAGAGGACCTAAACAGCTCCCTATTTGGGGGGAAAAAACAAAACCTGAAGGAAAAATGTCAGGTGACTTAAATGCAGAGAAAAATAAAATATAGAGTCACCAAACACAGCTCTGTGTGGTCATCAGAAGGTAAATACCATTACAGCACAGCTCCGGTTATTCAAAAAGAGGGTAAGAATCAGCATTCTCAGAAGACTTGCAAAGGGACAGCGAGAGAAATAAAATGGCAGGATTTCAAGAAACCTTAGGGGAAATAACTGATTTCACAGCAAGAAAACACAAAGGCTTATTTTGTAAAAAGCACGGTATAATCAATGCAAAAAAAATCAATCAGAAGTTTTGATTAAAAGTCCACAATGTATCCAGTGTCTAAAAAAGAAAAGCTACATATATATGCACATCTGTATATATATTATATATGTATATAGTTACATACACATACATTGTTTTTCATCACTGGTAGAGAGGTCAAGATGGACACCCACTGCAGGCTAATGATCATGGCAGAACAGACGTGTGCTAAGTGTGGTTATCACTTAGGAGGCATGATGAATGTGCTGTGAGCAAAATCATGAAGTTCTCTACTATCACAAAGTTCCAGTGAGCCAGGTACCAGTAAAACAAGGCCGAGGACACCTGTACAAGGTTTCATTAACCATAATGCTGTAGAGTGACAGTCTACACCCTCACACTGGAGGACTGATTCAAAGCAACCAAGAGCTAAAGGTCAGAACCCAAGTCGGTGGCTTTGAAACCCGGTCAATGGGCATTTCACCCACCAGTTCGCTTTGCTTGGATCTCTAAGAGCTGATGGGCAGGACGTCTTGTTCTAAGCTCTACCATGCTTTCCAACAAACACACACCACCAGGGACTAGAGTCAATGCTTCACCCTTGCTCTGGCCATGCTGGTGGGCGGCAAAGCCTCCTGTCTGCCCTGACCTTCCATTCATCATTAGCATTCCGTTTCCAGCCGTATCTCCCCACCACTTCACATGTAAATAATCTCCCCTGGACTACATGGCTGTAACAGTGACAAACAAGACTAATGACAGCAATTACACTGCCATCTGTTCAGCAAAACGTGCCCTTCCAGGAGAACAGCCACAGTCTTAGTGCATTTAGTACACAGCTACGAAATTAAAATGACATGTGGGAATCAATACAAAATATTTATTTTTTTCAAACCACAGAATCCGCCCCAAAGCCACACTATAAATTTTCCAGAATTGTAAGCTGTTAACGTTTTCCTAAACAATCCAGTCCAACCAGAAATGAAGATAATTCCCAACCAGCAGGGTTACAGGGGCTTAATGTGCCTCTGGAAAGCATTTCCTGTAATTCCCCCACAGCCACATCGACAGAAGCAGAAACAGGGTATGCACTTGTGTCACCTGGCTGTGGAAAGAGGTTCAAACCAGGGGCGTGGCCAGTGGAGGAGGGAACATGGATATGGCAATGACTTAGTTCATAAACAGCAGGGACAGATGGAAAATTATTCTCCTTGGAAAATAATAGGGGTTCTTTCACATACAGGGTGGGGCAAGGGGAGGTTTACAGTTGTGAGTATGCGGAAGAATATATTTGTAATTAATTATTGTAGTATTTATTAATGATTGTAGTATTTTCCATACAAACAACGGTAAACCTACTTTGAGGCAAATTTCAACAAAGTAATAAAAATAATAAGAAAACCACTTCTCCATAAACTACTATGACCTCTATTTTAACTTCTGATAAACATAAACTTCATCTTATGCAATCACACTGAAAACATTAACACAACCAAAAAGGACCGATCTCTTACAGGTGTCAGTTGCAGAATTCACATTCTGATCTTCAATTTCAAGAGGCCTAGATTTGGAGTAAACATAATACTCTGAAGCTCAATGAGACACCATAAAAAAAATCAACTGAAAACATCCAAACAGTGACTGGATAGCTAACGTGGGTTATCTTGTGTTGGTTTTTTAGTTGTAAAGTTTTTTAGTATCTCAGATTAGTGTATATCCCTAAAACAATGTTCAGTTATTTTAACAATAGCTGCTTATTAAACAACTAGAGGCCCGATGCACGAAGATTCATGCAAGAATGGGCCTTCCTTCTCCTGGCCACCGGCACTGCCTTCACTATGGCAGGAGCCGCCTTCCACCTTCCCACACTGCCCAGAGGCCCAGAGCTGCTGTGGTGGTGCAGAAAGCCTGTGTCATCACCATGGCAACAACACAAGCCTCCCGCCCCCGGCCGCTCTGCACCTGCAAATTAACAAGCCATCTTTGTTGGTTTAATTTGCATATTCACTCCTGATTGGCTAGTGGGTGTTGCAAAGGTACAGTCAATTAGCATGTTACTCTTTTATTAGGTAGATTGACTTTTAGCTTATGGGCAGTAATTCTAGCATGATAATCATGAAAATAATTGTGATAAAACAGAGTAAATACAGAAGAAATTACAGCCAGCCTCCATAAGATGACGACCAACCTGGAAGGTTACCCTGGGAGAGTAAACGGATTTATGCAAGACTAGGATACAAGTGCTCCTGCTCACTTCATACCTGCAGAAACCTTCGTGTCCGCTGGATCACCGTACCTCTGCTAGCGTGTGTGCACAGACCACTACTCCGAGTTCTCTCTGTGCTGAAGGGCGCTCGAATCCCTATGCAGTCAGCACAGAACACTGCAAGGTGATGTATGTGCCAACTCTTCCTGAGGAATTCTTTGTGTGTGCAAATCTGCAACCCGGCGGGAAGCATGGAACAGGGGACCGGCAGCTTGAGGGGGCTGCACTGCTGGGGCTGCAGTGCAGTGGTCACAGCCTCGGGCATCCTTTCTCCTGCAATCTCTCTCACTCACAAATGGGTTTCCATCCTGTGCCCCGAAGAAATGGAGGGAGCTGCCTCAAACTTGTAAAAGGGACAGAAAAATGTAAAATGTAGTAACACACAACTCCTGCATCCAGGTTGGTACTTCTTCTCACAGATTCTACATAAGAACTATGTGTCAGGGTTTGCTTTCTGCCCCACAAAAAACATAGTAGTTGCTAGACTAGGGTACGGCCGTGACAACAGAGGGCATCAGAGGACCCTGTTACTGAAGATTCGAGCCAACTGTAAAGTACCGTCTCTCAAAACCATTATCTTCTATTTATACTTTTTCATGCCAGGACTCCAATGGGATTGGACTGGCTTGCTTTTGGAAGGTTTTAGGTGTAGGCTGCACACAACACACTAGTCAATTTAGCCAAATCAACTCGTTGACAATCGACCTGCATGTACAATTTTCTGACTTGGGCCCCACAAAAGTCAACTGGGTGGAGAAACTATATACTATCCTGGCAAGAATATAGGTAAACATGAGAAAATACTTTCTGGCAAACAATGCTTCATCAAAACAAACATGGAGGACAAATCTTATTTCTTCTCGTGTTGCAAACGAAGAATTTAGCTAAGAACCCCAATTAAACAAGGTCAACTTTGGCTTGAAATAAAGAAATGAGTTCTTCATACAGCAATGTACCTCAGGGGTGAAAATGAGAAATGACAGGTCACATGGGCCAGGAGAAAGTGGAGATGCCTCCTACAGGGTCTCCCCTCCGGCTTTGCAGGACCAACCCTGACCCAGAGCTGGCTCAGTCACTGCCCAAAACTTTACAAAAACTAACTTTCACAGACTCTATTCTGCCCACTTTTTTTTTACAAATAAAAAGACAATATAAAATATTTCTCAATTTACTTAATACAAAAACATCCAAACGTTTTAATGCCAATTCACATCATAATACAATGCTTTTATAGGGAAAGTTCTGTTGTTGTTGGCCAAACAATAGTCTCTCCCAGAAAAGCATTTGGGTATATTATTAAATTACTGAAGAACCTATCAACATTTTTCTTAAAAATCAATTTTATTTCCGAAGAAGTTATTATTAAAACCACTCAGGAGAGACTTTAGTTGCAGGTGTTATTGATAAGCCTGCAACAAGCAGTCCATTGAGAAGGTAAAAGTTGGCCTTCGTGGTAAAAGGGAATTTTCCCTTGATACTAGAATGTTACTGGTGCAGCAAATCAAACTACTCAGGGCACAGGCAGTACCCGTGTATATTCTTACAGCAATTCAGTGTTCAGAAATACAATCCAAAATACTCACAGAATTAGTCTAACTCACGGCCTCCACAAAATCCATCAACTCTGGTTGACAAGTGCTTAGAAAAATAAAAGCTGACCACCTTTCCTTTTACTTCTCTGAGTAATGACTTCACACTGAGGACTTCCATTAGATGACTTACACGTTCCTAAGATCACACTTCTCTCTCTCCCACTCCCTAAAGGACAAACTGAATTGGCAGAGGCAACTCTAAAAAAATCCTGCAAGTCAGAAGTGTGACGGTGTCCCTACCGTCTTCTTTTTCTGCTTCAAGTTCTCTGAAGAGGTGACCGTTAGTCTGACATAGCCTCATAGACTCAAGCATAGCGCCCCATTTACAGTCAAACAGAATTGAGAAGAAAGTTTTTTGCCATTTTCCAAATCTTTCTATTTTTCTTTGCCTTTCAAGAACAGCTAGAATATGCTTCAGAGTCTAAATAACTAAATAGCACTGTGGGTGCAGAAAAACAAAACACACAGCTTGCCCACAGCCGGAAGGGGCCTCAAACACAGCAGCGCTACTTCTTTTCAGACTTAGACACAATGTTCACAAGATGCAGACTACAGACTTAAAAAAAAAAAAAGTATTTATCCTACCCATTTAAAATGAAATGGATCAGGAATCCCACACCACTGATTACATTGGGATTTAATAACCATATCCGCTTCCTAGAGCATCTCGGGAGCCAGCTTTTACTGTTGGATGATTCTCCACATTGAAAGGGGAGCTTTATTGCCGAAGTGCTGGCCACGCCTGGACTAGCGCGATGCCAATACGACAGCAGCTGGTGAAGTCATGTTAAGAGACAGAGGGAATGGAAATGTTCCGTAAGAGTTGGTCCCTGACGTTAAGATGAGTATGCCATGGTGAAGCGGGGGCAATCTGACCAATAGGCGACGTTTCATTTTCCCACTCACTCAGCATCCTGCTATGAAGCCACTCCTGACATCTTGGAGGGTTAACCCACGATACCATTAGCTTTTTCCGGAAGCATCTGTGAGTTTGACAACATGGTCACGGAGTTGCAAAGTGCACAAAGCTCAAGGCACAGAGTAGAAAGAAGTTGTGAGCTAATGGGTGAGAAGGAATAGCAAAAACAGAATAAGCATTTTCCTTTCACAAGACTTTCTAAATCTAAACAAAGACCAACTCTTTTAAAGGAGTTTGTTTTGGTTAGGGGTGAAAAATACTGTATTGTAATGATCTGCTCGATTTTAAAGCTAAACGTATCTTGATGTGTGACATGACTATGCCGAGCGCCAAGTCCACAAATGAATAAAACAGTGCTATAAAAATTCTTCTGCTCTTATATTTTTGGAGGAAGCTGCTGATTTGGGCTGCCAGATTACATGTAGCAACGGTCACTTTTCAAGATGCCTGTTCCTCATGGATTAATAGATTTCATTAAAAGATTGTCCCATTTCAAAATCATCCCCGAGTCTAGCAGCAACTGACAGTTTTTTTGTTAAAATTTTGTTTTGTTTTTTTAAAATTACAAGTCAAAGAAGTCCGACGTCCTCTCCCGAGAACAGCCTTGGGAGAGCGCCTGAGAGCAGGACCCGCTGTGCTCGGAAGTCTCTGCAGCTCCGGTGTGTCCTTGTGGCAGGAAGGAAAGTACCTTCAACACAGTCACTATCTGTACCCTCTGGAACTCGCACAGGCTGAAGGGCTGTCTGAAAGAGATCGTCAGAACAGGGAAAAGGATGAATAGCAGAGAGCGCTTCACAATGGCAGCACCCGCCTATACACACAGTCCTCCCCGTCTCCCAATCGCCCAAAAGGAGGTTTTTTAAAAAGTGGTTTTGAGTGGAGTGAAAGGGGGGCTAGATCATCAGGAGCTGAAGCTGGGTCATTGTCCTACTCTAGGTGACTACAGAATCGGGCGGCCTCTTGACAAATGCCTGAGAACCACCAGCAGCAGCTGGACCTCATCTGGGCGCAGCTTGCAGAATAGTCTGCCCTTGGTCACACACGGTGCCCAATGAGCCCCCTGTGGGTATCATTATTCTCACTGCCAGGGCCTATCTACATCACAAACATCAAAGCTGGTGAGGAACACAGTACTTACTATAAGTCAGCTCATCCCCAGCTCTCTTCCGGGACTGGTCACCTCTGGGGATTAAAAAAGAAGGAGTGAGTCAGCTGAACTGACTGACATCTTCACATACCGACAGGAGAAATGGATTGACATAATTGATAATAGAAGTACAGCAGACATTTCAATTCTAACACTTATCAAACTTATACAGTAACTGAGTCATTTATAAACTGAATATTCTTAGCTAAATGGTGCTATCTTTTAAATATAGAAGGCTATTAAGTGAAGGAAATATTATCTTCAAAGATGGTTTATACAGGGTTCTAGAAAGTTCAGACTAAAATGTCTTTGAAGACTAACCTGGGTTTATCAATATCCCTCATGACCTTATGGAAAATTTCAAATATGAAATAGAAAGGATAATTCAAAATCTTACCCTAAAAAGCTCTATTATGAAACTGAAAACTGCTTAAAGCTTTTGAAAAATCTCAGAATCTCATTAATAATGAATATAAATGCCCTTCTAGCAACAGAAGAACATGAACCTTTACACACATTAATGAGTTCATCTTCAAACACCAAAGGAATTCTAGTTCCACTTTAGAGATGAAAAATCATAGGTTCTGATCAGATCCTATGCTACCCATAAATGCTATTTCAACTCTCTAGTTTCTCAGACAATAATTCAGACAAATGACTAAAATATCAAAGCCATGAGTAATAACGACCAATTCCCCAGCTTTTAACTCTGGCCAGTCCTGTCCTTGGCCACTTCTCTTTGTATAGTCTCCTTAGCCTAGATAGAACAACAATCACACAGGTGCTGTGGCTTGAAATCCTACCTATACCCAATTGGTCCCAGATTTCTATGCCCAGCTCTACACATCAGACGCAGTCCAGAGGCCGCATCACCACCAGTAATTTACACACACTGCCAATGCAGCATGGCCAACATGAACGCTGCTGACGCACTCCTTCCTCAGTCTTCCTCAAATGAACAGCCACCCAATTCCTCAGGCCAGAACCCGGCTTGTCCTTGATTCCCCTCTTTCCCTCACCCTGGAAACATAATCCAAAATAAACCAACACTCATCTACTCCACAGCGACAACCCCAATCCAAGACACTTATCATCTCTCCCCTACACATCTGCAAGTTTCACTGTTAGTCCAGACAAGAGCCACTGATCTTATGTAAAAGCACAAATAAGATTATTTCATGCCTCTGAGTAAAGCCCTTCAGCGGGTTTCCATTACAGTTCAAAATCAATTCGCATTCACTTCCCCAGGCCTGTGAGATCTGACCCCGCCTACCTCTCCCTCCTCCTCACCGAGCTCTGCTCCCTCAGCCACTCTAGCTCTTTCTGCCCCTTTGGCACGTTGGCACTTTGTACCTAGTATTTCCTCTGCCGGCAATACTCCTCCCCTGGTAGCCAACGGCTATCTCCTAATCATCACCTCCCTGGCTGGCATGTCTCCTCCCGGGAAGGCGGCACATTACCACGGTAGCTGGAACGCCCCTCACACATGCCTGGTCACTCATTCTCTCACACACACTCGGTTTCATCTTCTTCATAACACTTATTATTTGAAATAAATTGTTTACATGTTTATTATTTATCACTCTACATTGAAGCACAAGCTCTGTAGAAACAGGGGCTTTGTTGCCTTGTACCCAGAACAGTGTCTAGCACATAGTAGAAAATAAGTATCTGCTGAATTAACAAGTTAGTAAATAGTTCTTAAATAGCCTCTACAGGTTATTAAAATGCTAGCTCAAGTTAATTATCTTCTGCTTCTGAACAATCTTAGTCCAGACAAGAGCCAGAGCAATCTTATGTAAAAGCATAAATAATTTCCCATTCTTTCTCTGGTTTGTGCTCCAGACTAGGAAAAAGAACCTCCTGCGAGGCTGGGTGGGGAGTCTAATGACTGGCAGAAAGCACAATGGAAGGCCCTTGTTTTTCTCAGGGCTGGGCACTGAGAGGAAAATGTGCACATTTAGCATGAACTGGCCTCAGGCAGCTCAGAGAATCTGGATGTTAGAACAGATATTCTAACACCACTTTTCAAAGATCTCTGCTGTGAACACTATATAAGCCAGTGAGTATCTTACATTATTACTATTTACACAGTATTGTCTCAGCAGTAGTCACCAAATATTCTTGAAACAAACAGGTTAAAGCTGATCAACAGGAAAATGTAGAATTTCGTATCTGGAACCTCACATTCCCAGCCCCCAAATGCCAAATAAAAACTGAACATGCAGGAAATAACAGGAGAAAAATACAGATGTGAGACTGACAGGAAAAAGGAAGGCAGGAGAAAGGCTGCCAAGGGCATTATCTAACGTGGCGAGCAGGGAAAGCTATGAGCCGCGCTCCAAACCCTGCTCCTAAAGGGAAAAGCTCCAATCCAGAGGAACCTCTCAGCCAGAAGACCAACAAAACCCCTATCTATAAGGCTCTATTTGTTTCAGAAACCCAGGTACCAATTACTCAGAAAGTACATTTTGTTTGCCCTTAAAAGCTATCGAGTAGCCACTCTGAAGAAGACCACGGGCTGGTTTGAATGAGATTCTCCATCTCAGGGCACGCACATTAGACGTTCCCAAATGAGCTTATCTTCTATAATGCAATATGACAACAACAGATACCAATCTGTCTTCCCTGGCAATAATCAATGCTATTATGCAGGTAATAGATAAAAAGGAAATGTTGCTTTTAGCTTATTTGTTCATTCTAGCTTTGAAATAAGTCCACACTGTATTTCTATGCACCTGAATATCTTTCCCATAACTCCAGCTCAAATGAGAATCTGCCCATTAAATGCAAAAGAGGATATATTGTATTTACAACCCTCACACATTATTTCAAAATATTTCAAAGACTTAGTCTGTGCCACCCACATGAAAGCTGTGTACTGCCTATTCAGGACTCCATACATCATGGAAGTGGGGCAGAATCTTAAATGAAAAAAGTTTGCAAAGCTGAACAGGAATTGTGGTTGATAGGCATTCTATCCTATACAATAAAGAGCTAATATGCTAATTAACCAGGCGGTGGAACAACCTTCCCTAACAACCAGTGGGTGGGGCCATGGGGCCGGGAGGCAGCCAGGGCTGTGATGGGCCCAGCCGTTCGCATGGATTTTATGCATCAGGCCTCTAGGAAACCATAAAGTGACTGCTCACAGCAGAATAGCCAATAACAAAATTCTTGTTAAAACAGCCTGTACTATATTCTTTGTTTTTTGTTATTATTTTTTTTGCATTGGTGGATACAATTTCCTCTGAAATAACTCTAGCCAAATACTGATCAAGGTAGGCATCACAGCTGGCGGGGCAAAGCATGGAACCAGAGCTGGAAGTGCAGGCAGACTCCTTCCCGGCTGCATGTAAGGTGCTGCACATCCTTTCTGCCAGGCGGCCAGCTCAGCAGTGGGGCAGAGTGAGTCCAAGAATGCCAGCTTGGGCAGGGCCTACTCTGTGCTAAGCATTCCTCAGAGTAATTTATGAGGCAAACCTTAAGTCTCAGTAAATGTATAACAAACTGCTAACTTAATTCTAGACATGGCCCAATTCAGTCTGTGAAATAAGACATTTTAATTTTATCACCTCTTGGAAAACATTTAAAAATTTCAGGCAGAAGGTGCATGAAAGGATCCCACTAAGAGAAACAAAAAATCCAAACTCAACTCCAAGGCACCTCCCTGAATATGGTCAGCTTGGCCTTGGCAAACAGTCCATGTTAGTCCATGTACAAGAAGGGCAGTGTTGCATGAAGCTATTCATGGAGTCAGTTACCTAACCCCAGCAAACTTTCCAGTCCTGCAACCTAGTGTCTTATTCCAGTTCCACAATCAGAGTTAGGAAATGCCTCTGGATGTGTTTAAATTGGTATCCACCCTGCTCGGAAAGGTAATTCAAGGTGTTCAGAGTTGTTCACTAGAGTGTACTTTCTAAGCTGCTTCACAGAGATCAAAGCTTTCAGAAGGCTGTTAAAGACACCAGTAAGTTCATCTCTAAAATTAAAAGCACACTCAATAAAACATGAATATAAGCATAAAAGACCTCAAATGTATGATTTTCCCCCTCATATTACTGGGGTGAGGGGGAGACATAAAAGGAATACTCAGATTATTCTGCATTTATTTTAAAATATGTAAGGAAAAACTTTTAACTAGAATTCAGAACACATGAGCCAGAAAAAGACAAAACCTGACAAAGTTAGTTACATAAAAATGAATAAAAACTTCTCCATAACTTCAAATTAAAAAGAAAAACCAATGCCATAAGCAAATCAAAAGACAAAAAAATAAAGTCTTATGTCGGGCAAAGAATCAATCTTTTCACTATAGAAAGAGCTTCCAGAAACTAAGAAAAAAACAACAATAATAACCAAATAGAAAAATGGAAAAAGGACATGGAACAGGCAGTTTACAGAAAAACACAAACATGAAGCTGTGCTCAGCCTCACCCTTAACAAGAAATGCCAATGAAACCAGCCCTGTGAGGCTGGCAAAAATCCCAAAGTTAAAAACATACTCCACATGCACGGCCGTGAAGGACAGCACTTTCATACGCAGCTGGTTCATATGCAAAACACAATCCCCTATGGAGGGCAATTTGGCAATATTAACCAAAATTACAACTGCTTTTACTCTTGGCCCAGCGACCCCACTTATGGAAATTTACTCTCCAGATATACCTGCAACAGGTATAGAATTATACACGGACAAGGCTATTCATGGCAGCATTCTCTGTGACAGGAAAAGGCTGGAAATAATTCAAGTTGCCATCTACTGGGGACTGGTTAAATAAGTTGTAGTATATTTACACAATCAAATGTGTAAGAAATGAATTAAGATCAAAACATATTCCTTCCTACACTGGAAGGAATCATAAGAAAATTTTAAAAAATGATTACCTAATGGGGTGGGAGTAAGTAGATAGGAAGAGAGGTGGGGACAAACCTCTCAGAGTATGTATTTTTTATTCTCATTCTGATTTTTGAACCACACAAATATATTAGCTCTTCGAAAATATGTAAAACTACTATGGCATTAAATGGCCTCATTCTGTGTATGAAAATGATAGTGCTGTTAGAAATGTTGCAATTAATGTCAGGAAACACGTGACCACTGAGTATGAGAGAGAGAAACTAGCTGTTTACATTCTATTTCCACTGGCCTGTCCTTCCCTAACTTGCTATAACAAAATGGGGTGTAGAGGCCCCTCTAGCGATACAGCTTCATTGAGCCTTCCCAGTGAAAACTGACAGTGGTTACTCAGTGCCCCTACTACCACATGGGCATAGATGCCACCAGGACAAGATGGGGGAAAATGCCAACCCATGGGTCAACAGATTATCCGCTTTATTTCCTAACCTGTGCTCAAACCACAGATTTGGTAACAGTGGTCTTGGTAAGACCATATTCTGAGACTTAATTTGGCCTCAATGACAACTTACTACTATGTGTGACCTAATGAGGAAGCCAGCTGTCTTCCTTCCCACAACTTTCTTGCTTTAATGCCATGGATCCAAATAAAGAAGAGATATAAAAACGTAAGTAAAGAGTAAGGATACTGAAAATACCAGGATTTAAACACCCTTCAGTGATGGTGACAGAGAGGGTATTTTCCCATAGGGAATCACCAAGTTTTTATATAATTTATTGTAGTTGAAAAGACGCACTTCGCAAGATTTTCTGGGTTATAATCATGATACTGAATTGTACACTTTAGAGAAATCAGCGAAGTGTATATGTCAAAACCAAGGAAGATAAACATCCGGCAACATCAAAGAGAAAACTACTTTTTTTTAAGAAGAAACAACTAGCCGAAACCGGTTTGGCTCAGCGGTAGAGCGTCGGTCTGCGGACTGGAAGGTCCCAGGTTCGATTCTGGTAAAGAGCATGTACGTTGGCTGCAGGCACATCCCCAGTAGGGGGTGTGCAAGAGGCAGCTGGTCGACATTTCCAACTCTCTATCTCTCTCCCTTCCTCTCTGTAAAGAATCAATAAAATATATTTTATTAAAAAAAAAAAAAAGAAGAAGAAGAAGAAGAAACAACTAGAATTTAGGGCAAAAGTGAAAATAAGAGAAAGAATGTAAAGCCTCTTTATACTATTGTAGGTTAGTCATAAAAGTACCTATAACTCATCATAAAATTTCTATAATGCTTTTCCAAATGTTCAGAACTAATATGAGGATCAAAGTTTGAAGAGCTCTTGGAGGCCGCCCAGGTAACTGCCCACCGACTTAGAAATTCCTTCTTCAAAATCCATTTAGTGAAGAGCAGCTTCCATAAACTCAAAACCCAACCTCAACATTCCGGACGTAGGCAGCCTACCTCTCCAGGAACAGCTCGACTCTGGTACAGTCATTTCTGTCTAAGGACCCTGGCCCCCCGCCCCTGCCAGCCAAACCGGCCTGAGGAGACTGGCGTTATTTTGTCACAAAGGGAAAAACTTGCCTCATAAAACCATTCTGCATGAGTTCTCTTTGAAGTTTCTGATCTTGAGCAGCATATTCAGAAAGTTCAGATTCCACCACCGGAGGGAGGATATTTGGAATAAATTTAGAAAATAGAGTTGGAGCCATCTGAACCCACTCTGTGAGGGAAGGAAACAATTCATTAAGAAAATCAGAGACAAATTAAATTAAGTATATATTGCATTGGGGGGGGGGAGATAATTGGAGGGAAGAGACTTGGTGGAAATTAGCCCTATAAAGCATTTGTTAAGACGATACACTGGACCAAGAAGAGAACTGTGCGGGTAGTAATAAGTAGACATATAAAAAAGAAGTCCACAAAAATGGACGGGAAATTACCATTTAACAAGTGCGCTGGAGATAACTAGTAAGTACTTTTGAAGAAAGCCCTATTTTGACTCATGCTAACTACAGCAAATTAAATATATGTAAACAGTAAAAGAAAATAATTATATCGTTATTCAGTTATTTAAAAAAGATAAATGGCCGAAACCGATTTGGCTCAGTGGATAGAGCGTCAGCCTACAGATTGAAAGGTCCCAGGTTCGATTCCTATCAAGGGCATGTACCTTGGTTGCGGGCACATCCCCAGTAGGAGGTGTGCAAGAGGCAGCGGATAGATAATTCTCTCTCATCGATGTTTCTAACTCTCTATCCCTCTCTCTTCCTCTCTGTAAAAAATCAATAAAATATATTTTTTTTAAAAGATAAATGATCAAGAGAACAATCTAAAGGAAAACATTCAGAAATAAAATAAGAGACTTAGAGAAGTCTAAGAAATATCTGCATTTATGATTAATTCATACTTCTATTATAGGGCATTTTTACAAATCATTAAGACCAGAAAATGAAAGGCAGGACTAAGTAATTTACAATAAAAAATAAAAATAGAATAAAAGCCTTGTTAATAAATACTCACAAAAACTCAAGGACAATAAGCACAATCTCCTCCCCCTGCTCCCTGAACTCTAACTGTAAGGAATGCACTCGGCAGCGGGTGTGCAGTGAAACCAGCACGCTCCTTCCTTGCCGGTGGCCTAACTGAGTATGGATACCCTTTTGGGTTCTTTTAATCTGACCTCTTCAAATTTCCCCTCTCGGAAAACATCTTAGCTGTGCACCTCAAGAACCATAAAATGTCAAAGTCCTATTTATTCCAGTGAGCTCAATTTAAAAATAATCATCTGAGTATATATAATCCTAAATTTGAAAAAAATTACGCCAATGCTGTGCAATGCTGAGTCACTAATAAGTAAAAAAATTCAACAGAACAGCCAAGTTAGAGATTGCAAAAATAAATAAATAAATAGATAAATAGATAAATAAATAAATAAATACATAAATAAATAAATACCACAAATGACCCAGGAGCCAATCCACTCACCCTTTGTTCAAACTCATGGCAAATGTTCTCAATCATTTCCCTCCATCTCAGCTCAGCTCAGACATGGTTTAGAAAGTCTCACTCACTACAGTGCTCTGGGGAACCACTAACCAATCAGGGTGAGCTGGCAGGAGTCAAACAGTCCTGCCCTTTTATGGAACTCCAGGTAGTCATTAAAATATACATGAAGAAACAAAATAAAAGTGTGTGTATAAATGAAGAAGGGCAGGATGGCACGGCTACAACTGTTTTCAAGCTGAGCTTCTAAAGGCCAAATGAAAACACACCTAAAATAATAATAGTCATCAGAATCTCCAAGGATTAGGGTCCAGGAATCTAGAGTTTAGAAAACCTTTTTGGTTGATCCAGATACATTCATTATACAAAGATCAGCATGTGAGAACCACCATAGTAAAAAAAAAAAGTTTACATTTAAAATTCAACTTTTACTGAGGATTCTCAGAGGGAAGGGGAAGAGGGCACATATGCATAACCCATGGACATAGACAATATGCGGTGAAGGCCTGGGGAGGGTTTAAGGGGGGGTGGGGGGGACGGACATCTATAATACTTTAAAAAATAAAGATAAATTAAAACTCAAAAATAAATAAATAGATAAAATTCAACTTTTAAAACATTTTAACCTTAATCGTCAGGTGAATAAAACTGTTTTAATAAACCAGGAACAAATATTTTTAAGAAAGAATTATTTTTTTTAAATAATAAAATAAACCATGAACACAATAGGCAAGACATGTAAATGTCAAAATATGTTTAATATTATCTCAGAAAATGCCTAGGGTTACAGAAGGCTAGTCTGTGAAAAAATTCACCTTCTGAAAAGGGCAATTCTCAAATACAGAATTCTCTACACAAGTAATATGAATCCTATTATAAGAACTCAAACTTAGATAAAATGGCATTTAGATGAGCATGTATCTATGAGTCTTTTTACCCAGAGTAATTACTTTCATTCTGCAGCTTGTTACTCATGATAAAAGCCAGAGCTTTTATGATAAAGCAACCTACTTAGAGGTGTAATTTAGAAATTTGTCAAACTGCACTCGGATGCCTCCCAAACTAAAGGATAAATCCATGGACCATTTCATCACATTTAGTAAAATGAAAGTCAAAATTCTGAGAAACTACAAAAGAAAAACATCAGTTTATTGGACATATAAAATATTTTTGCTACTTTATATAAGTAATTTATACAAAAAATTTGTTTAAAAATTATGAAGAACGGAGCAAGATCTGGTCAAATTTAAGTAACATTAAGTGTGAATGCTGTTTAAAGTAGAAAAAAGTATGACATCAGACTCCACCTCTAGTACAATTTTTACAAAGTTTCCATCTTTAGCAAGCTAAATTCTGATACATCTTTTAAATTAAGAAAAAATCAAGGCAACAATTAATATAACCACTGAATCCAACTGAATGGAAGTAACAGTTCATGTTAGGATGCTTATAGTATCAGGTACTGTGTTAGGCAATTTAGATCAGGTCTTATTTCATTGAATCCTCAAATGACAAAAGTTTCACAAAAAGGTAAAGTAGTCCCCCTTCCCCCAGGGGGATACATTCTAAAACCCACCAACTGATTGCTGGCAAGTTACATAAGAGGCCAAAGAAGATGGAGTTATGAATTTATATGTCTATGTATATGGGTAGTGTGGGACAGAAGTGAAGGAGAGTCTCCCTAACAAAAAAGACAAAGATTAATGCCAGACCGGAGAGTCAATTTTATCCCAAGTGTCTCCTACAAATTATTTCTTGTATTTCCGTTGGCTTTACTAGAATAGAGATAACTGCAATGGAGTCGTTTGTTTACATTTCACAATGATGAGTATCTACTCAGTATTTTTTGCCAAAACGATCCAAATACCATGGGGCCTCAGAAAACACTGAGAAAAGCACGGTCCTGCTGGACAGGCATGGAACTACCACAAACAGACAAGTCCAACCCCAAAAGAAGCGATGTGTGCGTTCACCTGGTCGGAGAGTGTACAGGCCTTTCACAATGTTTGCCATAGTTGAAGGTGTGACCTGAAATGGTGTTGACTGGGCTTCTAAAAGTAAAGCTGAAATAAAAAGACAAGATGGGATATAAAAATGATGTAACACTTATTGTCAAGGTTTCTCTATTATTATTTCTCCCAAAGATGGAAGAGCAAACAAGTGTAAGAAATGAACGGTCCAAGAGGACAAAACGAGAGTTTATACACTGAAGATTGTTTTTAAATCCAATGCAGCAGAGCTCGATCTAACAAATATGTACAGGTCTGTTGAAATACTAATGGAAATTATTCGACTCGTGGAGCTTCTGAAACAAGTAAACCTTCCTAAAAGCACTGGTATTCATGGTACTTGGTGAATAAGCTGAAAGTGCTTCCTATTATGTTCCTGATTCAAAAAATGTACACTTGGGGGATGAAATGTTCTGTAATTCTCTCAATCATTTCTCTTTCCCCCAAATCACCATAGTTGAGGCCCTTGGAATTTTCCTGAAAGGCATATTATTGGTAATTTCAGTAACTGCAATCAGAGTCAGACTGACTTTCTGAGTCAGTCTGACTTCCCCAAATGCTACAGATGTACTTTTCTTTAAACTAAAGGTAATGGCAAGAGAGATCATGCTCGCTCATCCTTCTCACTTTCATGACTTTAGTAACCACAGAACCCTAAACGTAACAACAGAGTCAGTTTTCTGCAGGACAAAGATTTTATTAGAACATTTTTAAATGAATAGAAATAATTCTTCTAGGTAACATCATTAACAGATACAAGCAAATTCCATTATTTAGTGGATACAAAAGATACTCATGACACAGATCAGTTCATTTTTAATTTATCAAAGACCTGCAAGTTACTAACTAAAATACTTCATAAAACATGGCATAATTTTACTGTATGCCAGGGTTGTGAAATTGGACAAGCGGTTTCCTTCTGTTCTTGCCTTTTTTTAAATGGAAAAGCCATCTCACTCGGCCAACAATGACCTCACAGTTTCAAACATACAATGTGAGTTACACTGAATTTATTGATATATAAAGGTCGAAGATGCATTGTTCAAGTTTATCCTTCGGATTTTATCATCAGTAGACAGTTATAATTTTGAATGGCATAAACTTTAAAGAGACAAATGTTAATTTAAGCACTATAGGAAATATTTTCAAAATATAATGTTTAAAACAGAAATTCTAGCCTGGCCAGAGTGCTCAGAGGCTGAGCATTGACCTATGAACCAGGAGGTCACGATTCAATTCCCAATCAGGTTACATGCTTGGGTCATGGGCTTGATCCTCAATGGGGTATGTGCAGGAGTCGGCCAATCAATGATTTTTCTCTCATCATTCAAGTATCTATCTAGCTTTCTTCCCTTCATCTCTAAAACCAATAAAAATATTTTTTTAGTTAAAAAATATGATAGAGCCGAAACCGGAGCGTCAGCCTGTGGACTGAAGGTCCCAGGTTCGATTCCGGTCAAGGGCATGTATCTTGGCTGCAGGCACATCCCCAGTGGGGGGTGTGCAAGAGGCAGCTAATCAATGTTTCTCTCTCATTGATGTTTCTAGCTTTCTATCCCTCTCTCTTCCTCTCTGTAGAAAATCAATAAAATATATTTAAAAAAAAAAAAAATATATATATATATATATATATATATGATAGAGCCAGATGAGGGAAGGGTTTTTGCACTAAAGAGTAAAAATCAGAGAGGATTCTGTGCTACACTTCAAAGAGGTCACACTGAGCTCCTTCTAGAGTTACCAGTAACAAAGTCAGGGGTGAACTCCTGGATAATATTTACTCCACTGTCGCAGGTAGCAAGTGTCAGGCCAGAACTGAAGGCACTGTCCGGTAACAGAGTCAAGCAGCTCCCAGCTCACTGGGTGACCTTCAACTCACATTTTCAGTTCTTTGTGCCTCTTTCTACAGAACTAGGCTTCAACACTTTCTGCTGTGCCAGGGCTCTCTGATAAAAAAATTATGTGTATCATTGCTAGTGTTCTCTCAACCCCTGTAAGGTAATTACTTACGCATTAGGCTGTAAATGTGCTTTTCTGCAACATGTTCCGTAAACAGCTTTATAAGGTCATCTTTTAAGTCTCTGTTAAGTTTTGTTTCGATGTAAAACTTATTCTGAAAGGGAAAATAAGTTATTTTTCAGTGCATCGTTAGGGGAAATGATCAGTCTAAAATAGAAACCCTAAAAATAAATTATTTTAGGAAACAACTCATAAAAGCATCAAGCAAAACATAAAAATGCAACATCAAACAACAAAAAGAAGGCCCTGCCCTACTTAGACATCTTCCTGGCATGGGGTTAAAAGCACATAAAGATGAAATGCAATAAACCATACACCTCCAAAAGAACATGGGATACCTGACATGACTTGACAGAGATGATGTACAGACACATGGAAACACACTGTGTGACAAGCACTTAATGTGCCTTTTGAAAAGTCCCCTTTTATTAGTGATCTAGGCTCAAAGCAGGTATTGAACATGCACTGTTGACTCCCCAACATAAGCTCCATTCAATGCTTAGTCTAAGCCATTCAGCCTATGGCATTCCTTAGGGATGGTCTCTGGTTCAAAGATAGACACATGACCCAAGATAGCCCATAACTGAGCCGAAACCGGTTTGGCTCAGTGGATAGAGCGTCGGCTTGGGGACTGAAAGGTCCTGGGTTCGATTCCGGTCAAGGGCATGTACCTTGGTTGCGGGCATATCCCCAGTAGGGGGTGTGCAAGAGGCGGCTGATCGATGACTCTCTCTCATCTATGTTTCTAGCTCTCTATCTCTCTCCCTTCCTCTCTGTACAAAATCAATAAAATATATTAAAAAAAAAAAAAAAGATAGCCCATAACTGAAAGAAACACAGGCTCCAGTAAAAAGTGTCTTACAGTCATCTTACCACCATGAGGAGAACATGGTGTGTTCCAAGATGTTGTGTACCAAAGAGAGAGAAAAGAACCTGAGTCTTTGGTGACACTTAAACCACAGATTCAGCCAACCCTGGAGACTGCCTTATTTCTGGATTTCATGACAGAGCTAATTCTTTCCCTTATTTAAATCACTTTGAATCAGGCCTTCTATTTCTGGCAGCCAGAAGCATCCTAATAAGAATGACCGACAAGTCAAAAAAGATTGAATTTGTTCATGTGTAAATGTTAACTCAATGTGTAGGAATGGAAAATGCAGAGGAACGTTAACGTGCTGATTCTCTCAATTCTTAACACAAGTTTTATTTTTCTCTTTAAAAAATTATAAAATAGTATACATATGGTTAAAAATTAAAGCCATGCGCCGAAACCGGTCTGGCTCAGTGGATAGAGCGTCGGCCTGTGAACTGAAGGGTCCCGGGTTCGATTCCGGTCAAGGGCATGTACCTTGTTGTAGGATTATCCCCATGGGGGGTATGCAAGAGGCAACTGATCAATGGTTCTCTCTCATCGATGTTTCAAACTCTCTATCCCTCTCTCTTCCACTCTGTAAAAAATCAATAAAAAAATTTTTTTCATTAAAACCATGCAAAAGGTTCCACAATAAAAAAGAACTGTCCCACTGCAGACCCTCTATCCCATTCCCAAAGGTCCTATCCTACACTAGGGACACTTTCGTATAATCTTTCTAAAATACTACTTATGTAATATGTGGATATGCTTTTTTCCTACTAAAGAAGAAAACACTTGCTAATGGAAAAATATTACACACTGCTTTGTATTTTGCTTTTTCACCTAATGTCTCTTGGGAAAGATTTTTCTCTAAAATAATACGGACACGTCATTATTTTTAACTGCTTATTTTTCAACTGTCATTATCCTCAATAAAGTACTTAAATAATAGTCCCTGCTGATCACAGAAATTCCTCCAGTGTTCTGTTTTGTGTTTTTTCCTAGTTATTAATTTGTGGTGGTTTTGTGTTTTGGGGTTTTTTTTCCCCAATAAAGTATATCTTATGGAGAATAAATAATTTTGAAGACTGGTATAAAACATGTAATCTCTATGCTATAGAATATAGGATCAACCTAAACATCCCATTCCTTAAATCTAATAAACAAAGAGGAATTGGGATAATGAATTTACTCCATTGGGATAATGAACCTCTCCACTCAATAAAAACACGAACATTAAGATTCTACAACTTTATATATTCAAAGGGGGAAGAACTAATCAACAGAGTCAACAGACTACAAATTTTACTCAAGGCATAATTTTCCAAATGAAATAGATCATCAAAATGGAAGCAAATTTTATTTTTCTCATTTTTTAGAGAATGACTTAGTTGGCATTCATGATTTTTAGATACATGTATTCATTCTCTTTTTTCTGAGGATAAGAAATCTTTCTTATACATCTTTATTTTTCAAGAACAATATCTTCCATATGGCAAAATAAAATAAATGCTAATAGGGTGGTTACTGATATTAATGCCTAATTGTCTACATAGCAATATTATTTATGTAATTTTAAAACGGGAAATTCTTCTATCCCAACACTATCAAGCATTCCTAAAATAGATTACTTTCTATTTCTACCATAATATATAGTAAAAGACAAATAGAACACACTTCACTCTCGATACTCGGACCTGTAAACCAAGCTCTAACTTACCATATATATGAAAAGAGGCACAATGCTCTGCAATGCTCCCATATACTGTCCAAGAGCTATATTAAATCTTTCAATATAGAGATCTGGAGGGCTGGCCTGTGGGAAAGAACAGAAATGTGACCGTTCTGGGAAAGCAGGTTTAAAGACCTTCTGTCACAATCTAAAATGCAAAGGCTCTTCTTACAAGCTTAGAACATGTAAGGGATCTCTCCTCCTAATTCAGCTTCCATTAGGGAGTACTTAAACTTTTGGTGCACACTAGTGCCTTTTTAACTTTTTCTTAGTCTTCCTAACTGTCTGCAAAATGCCCGTATTTCCACTTTACATATGAAGCTACTGGGGCTCAAAATATTTAGTCCCTTGACTATGGTCCCACAGTTAACAAGCCCAAGAGCTAAGTCTCAAACTTTGGTCAATCTGAGTCCTTCCATCTCTTACATTCCTAAAACCTTTAGAAAAAAGTTCACATTTCCAATTTAGGGCACATGGTTTACCTCTTTCCATTCATATTCTGCTCTTCCTCATGCACAGCCCAGCCCAGCAAACATATGGAACTGCTAGCAGTTACCAAGTATCAGTGTGCTGTCAGGCTTCCTGGAGTATTTTCTACTTGAACGAAGTCTTTAACACCACCCCCTCAATAGATTCACCTGGCTACTTCTATTATATTTATCCTTCAAGATTTATCACTTCTTCATAAATATCTGGGATATATGGCCTCTCAAAAAGGCACCATCACACTTCTCCCACTGTCCCTAAACTTCAAGTTCTTGGAGGGCAAGATTTATATCTTATCTTTACATCTCCAGTGCTGAGCACAGAGCCTGGGACATAGTAGGTATACATAAAGGCATGTCTTGCAAGAACAGAGCTTTACTTAAATTTAAGTACAGCTTTGCTTAACTGGTTGAAATCTAACCTAGCCTTTTTAAAATCTAAATTTTACTTGTAACAAGGCTGTATGACATTACACAATACATTTAGTACTCTCAATTTCAATTTCCATACATATAAAATTAAAAAATACTAATTGTGCTACTTCTAAGATGTGTTTAGATTCAAAGAATATGCTGTGTAAATATTACATGCATATATATATTTGCATGTCCAAATATTATATATGCATATGCAACTAATAAGTAAACTTAATGAATTAACTACCCATTTGTCAAGTACTTCATAAAAACCCACTAACATTATGAAAAGCATTCCTTATTAACTAAAGAAATTGGGGAAATGGTTCCACATTATGGGCAAACTTTTAACTATAACTAATGAACAGAAACACATGCGCTATCTTTCTCTAAAGTGCTTCAAAGAACTCTAGAAATTGTATTTCAGTATTCAAAGAAATAAATTTTAAAATTATTATTTGGGGGGAAATCTGAAGAGTTTTTGCATTAAAATGATTTTTCCCTTTCCATGAAAGGACACTTTATCTATTTCAAAGTTAAAAGCACGAACATTGATCAAAAGGCATACTTAATAGCAGACAGAATAAATAAAATTGAATTCCTTAGCTATTCTTTTCAAGAAACCCCAAAGGTTATGAGTAATAAAAAGCACTTTTTGTACTGAATCAAATGTCAGAACATTTACTTAGCTTCCACATTTCACCCAGCACTTATTCAAACCCTTTTAAATGGCAGGACTATAAATTATAACGATCTCCTAAAATAAATTCAATCTCTTTACTAGGAACCTAGAAGAAAAACTATGTTTAAAAGCTAATAAAATTGTTCGTCCTTAAAACTTAAATTTGGTATACCTTGGGCCCCACTGGGAAAATTACTACCTATTTGATTTACATTATTTCAACATGAATATATTTGGCTTGGACATTAAATGAAATATTTTACCCTTGAAGCAAGCAAGCTTCATTTTCTTCTCAAACAAGAAAAAGCAAGCTGCCAGAAAAATAACTTCTACTCTAAACTTGCTCCAATTTTTCATAACAGACCTAGATTCCCTAAAATGTATAATATGGCTGGTAAGAGGAATGTTTTAAATTTTGTTTTAATGAGTAATATAGTCATCTGGCTTAAAATTCAAATGAGTTCAAAAAGGCTTAGAGTTTACCTTTCACTCCTTCCTCACTGAACCAACACTTAATTCTTTTATATCCTTCCAGAAGGATTTTATATATATACAAAAAAAAGTATCCCATTTGTACCCCCTTTCACACAAAGCTAACATAAAATCACATTGATCTGCAATTGTTCTAAAAATATAACTGGGACACTGTTTATCCTAGTAGTTCTCACATATTTTGGTCCCAGGAACTCTTTACACTCTTACCATAATACATAAGGCTAGAGGCTACCGAATTGGACACCGCAGATGTAAAATGCAAACAAGTTCCACAATTTCTTTTTTTTTTAATATATATTTTATTGATTTTTTACAGAGAGGAAGGGAGAGGGATAGAGAGTTAGAAACATCAATCAGCTACCTTCTGCACACCTCCTACTGGGGATGTGCCCGTAACCAAGGAACATGCCCTTGACCGGAATCAAACCTGGAACCTTTCAGTCCGCAGGCCGATACTCTAGCCACTAAGCCAAACAGGATAGGGCCACAGTTTCTTATTTCTATCCCTCCTCTACCTACATCCCATCCCCATCCCACCAAAATGATACGGGAAAAATTAAGAATATGTGCTTTTGTGTTCACAAAAACATTCCTGTTTTCTTTAAATAATGACTTTTCCATGTTAAAATGAAATAGGGAGAAAAAGGTGGGAGGGAAGGATCTAACAAACACTACAATTCTATCTTTACAGAAGTAATGTATGTTCGCTAAAATTTTTAAAAGTTAAAAATGCAATTACAAATGAAAAATAACTACTAATATCAGGTAGATAACCATCATTAACATGTTCTTCTGTTCTTGTGTCAGTGCGTGCAATCTGCTTTTATCACTCAGCTACATATCATCATTTACCAGGTCAAGTATATTTCTACAACATAATTTTAATAACTGTCTGGACACACCATTGTCTATTTCATCAGTCCCACTTCATTAGATTCTCAACCTGTGATTTGTTGTTTGTATTATCCAGGTTTGCCTGGACACTTCTAGCCCAGAGCGCTTAAGGGGTACAAATGTGAGTAGCTTCAGATTATATTTAAACATAAGATGGCACCACTCCGTGCTTAAGAGCAAGAACAGCTTCGGGACCAATGGTTCTTCAATAGCCCAGGGACTCTCAAAGACTCAGCTCTCAGCTCTCCAAATGCCTGAAGAACTTGTACATGACAGATTCCTTTGCCACACTCCAAAGTCCTGACTCAGAAACTTTCCAGAAGGTACATTTTTAATGAGAACTTCAGGGGATTCTTTAAACAGCTGCTCTGGCAGCTGTTCAGCATTTAGAAATGTCCACTTCAAAGGAGAGAGGAGCTCTAAGGGAAGGGAGTCTATAGAGAATTCAAGAAAAGGTTGAGCAGTAATCACCATGCAACACAAGGCATTGACGCATGGCAATAGTGACTATTTAGCTGCCAATTATACTGAAAAGGGTAAAAATATAATACACTAGCATTTCAACATTAGTATTAAGACTATAAGTGAATTTTTTCTGTAAATTTAACCATTTCTTGACTTATCAAATTCACTGATTATAGTTAGTAAAATGGAACAGTGAAGTGCCTCATGCAGAAATTCATGAGGACATTCAGTCTCACACTTATATTATATTCCATACGCCCAACCAAGTGAAATGAATTATAAAGACTGACAAGCTCCTCTACGGAAAGAAAGAATATCCGAACTGCTTCCCCTCTGGTGATGGCAGCCATAAAAGCTGCAAGAAAACACAGCAGTTGAATGAATCACTAAAGGCCAAGTGTGAGCTCACAGCGCAGAAGCCCCCAAGCCTCACACCAGGGCAGTCCCCACCTAGCCGCCAGCTCTTTTCCATGGGTTTCCACTGGGCCTTTGAGAGAAGACTGAAGGCAGTGAAAGAGATGTGAGAGCCGCCCTCTGTGGCACACAGGTGCCAGGTTTGAGGATGGGGCAGAAGTACCCGAAGAAGCCCATGCTTGACTGCACCTCCTGGAGCTGAAAAGGTGGGGATTAGCTGCCAATGGAAGACAGGAACAAAAGCTGCAAGTACCCTGGACGCTGCTCAGATACAAAGCAAAAGGGAAGAGGGGACCCACCTACACCTGGTGACCCTTCTCTGATCTAAGGCAAAAACTGTCTACTGCTGGAGGTAACCCTCCAGCCGTCCTGTCACCAGCAAAGGTCAGTTATCAAAAATTAAGAAACACTGAAAAATCCCCCTAGCCGGGTTTGGCTCAGTGGATAGAGCATCAGCCTAGGGACTGAAGGGCCCTGGGTGTGATTCCAGTCAGGGCACAGGCCCGGGTTGCAGGTTCAATCCCCAGTAGGGGACATACAAGAGGCGGCCAATCCATAATTCTTTCTCATCATGGATGCATCTATCCCTCCCTTCCTCTCTCTGAAATCAATAAAATTATATTTAAAAAAAGAAAAGAAACACCTTTGAAAAATCAAACTATAACCCAATGTCAAGAATTAGAGAGTCAGCAAACCCTAGATGCAAAGATGCCCACAAACTGTTAACTGTCTATAAATTAACTCTGATTGATATATGTAATGATATGGCAGAAAAGGTATACAACATGCATAAAAAGGTGGGGAATTTCAGCAAATTAAAGGTTTAAGTCAAATGGAAATGCTAAAAATTCTCCAATTTTATTTTAAACCTTTTAACATTCATTCCTATATTACCAAATATGACTTTGGCATTTTGGACACACAAATGAACCTGATTGCTCTCTCAAGGATCCTTAATATTATTTTCTGAGTCAAATTAGAAATTCCTTTTTTAAAAATCTGCCTCTACATGACTAACTTTAGCAAAACAATGTGTAATATGCTTTTAGTCTACCTGGCTTATTCCTTGACTTTCCAGAACAAGAGCATTCTGCCAATGGACAGACTTGTCAAGGCTCCAGAAGCAACAAAATTACACTGGAGGCTGACAAAGGTGCTATAAAAATAAATTTCCTCCAAGATACATCTGACATCCCATTCTCATTCCTGCTGTGAAGACAGTTTCCACAGTAGACTATCCAAAAAATGGTAAATTATATAAAAGATAAATGAACCACAGGAACCTTAACCTTAACATACAGATTAGACACTCCTCAGATAATTTGTAAGAATGAGTTTCTAATTAAAGGTAACAATAAAGAAGTCAAAGGGAGTCCAGAAGACACTTCTCTCCTGATTCTCAAAGTTAACTGCTCCTGCCAAAACCGGTTTGGCTCCGTGGATAGAGCACTGGCCTGAGGACTGAAAAGTCCTGAGTTCGATTCCGGTCAAGGGCATGTACCTTGGTTGCGGGCACATCCTCAGTAGGAGGTGTGTAAGAGGCAGCTGATCAATGATTCTCTCTCATCGATGTTTCTAATTCTCTATCCCTCTCTCTTCTTCTCCGTAAAAAAATCAATAAAATATTTTTTTTAAAAGTTAACTGCTCCTGTTATTAATACCAGTTTGATATGGACATTTCTCCCTCATTTATTTCTAAAATATAACTTCCCTCATTTTCCAAATAGCTTAAACAGTAAACTGAATTAAAGTCTAACCTCTGTAATCCAGGATTCCTTCAGCTTACCCATATAACCATGAGATAAATCTAGGCTCTAATCCTAGTTTTTAAATTGACTGGCTAGGTGACATAAGAGGTTATAAAGGCCCGAGGATTACTTAATACAGAAAATATCCAAAGAAGTCCGGTGGACTAGGATAACTTCTCACTTTCTTATGTACTTCATTTCTTAATACTTGGCGAAATCTACCACCTTAACACTATTTGCTTATTTTTTTAAAGAAAACTTTTTTCTTATATCCTTTCCAATTTAAGAACATAACTGTCTCAAAACAAAAAGTTTTAAAAAGAGCACAACTCATAATTGTATTGTGTTCACTGTGACAATAAACAATAGCAAATAACTGTTCTTTATTTAAGTGATCTGACTCTCTTGCTCATCCCAAATTTCATTTTCTGAGTCCAGGATGCTGTTTGAACTAACCAAGTAGATGGTTCTAGTAATATCAGTTGTAAAGCTAACAAATGCCATTTATCAACTTGTAAGTACTTTTGCAGACTTCTCCTTGGATTTTGGCATTATGTTAAGCCTATGAGGAAAAAACACGGTCCCTTCCTTCAAAGGATAGCAAACGTACAGGGTGTCTCATTGACAAATTTTGAGACAAAAATAACTTTGCTATAACAACTGCTTTAAGTTCAAGTTTGGATTAATAAATAGATCTCCAAATAACTTATTTAGAAAAAAATTTCAGTAGAACATGCATGTGAAGAGTTGGCAACAATGTTTATCTTACTAGAAATCTATGTAAAAAGGATAGCAGGCAACTTTCTTGTTATCTAAAATCTCCCTCCCTCTGGAAAGGCATAAAATTCCATATTTGGGGAAATGAACGTTTTTAAAAATACTTTTTAGTTCAACAGGTATAAATATTAGAGCCTTTTAAAAATATACAAGACAAGTTGAGTTATGCTGCCACCCACCGGACAAAACACAAATAGCAAAGCAACCCTTGCTCTGATTTTAAACACCTAGAGAATCTGGCTGTTTGTTGGCAATTTAGAGGTGTCTCTGAATAAAGATCTGGTATTTTGTGGCAAAAAGATGATGAAAACACTTTACAACTACAGAAAAAGTATATATTTGGCTATGATAAACAATGCTCTGGCTATAATTAAGAGGAAAAAAAAGAAAGCTATTAAGTACAACAATTTAGGCTAAATAAGACTAAGATCACTCAGCACACAGGTGAGTAAAGAACAATATCTAGGCCCAAAGCACGCCCCAGCACTTTCTAGAGTGGCTATTTCAGAATTGCTGGAGTACTTCCCAACTGTGGTGTGGATCCATAATTTATTGCTGAGTGACTTTCCTATACATCATGTTACTTCCACGCCAGTACTAAAATGTGATCTGGCCCTGGCATAAAAATAGTACCTGACCTTCGAGCACTGGAAAACTTACTGAGGCAGCGAGATGCTGGGGGGCCAAGAGGCCAAGCATTTGCTTAAGCAGAGTATTTTCTACAACCTGCCCCAGATTTGACAGCCAGGATGACGTTTGTCTAAAGAGGGTTTATCCACAAAATTCTGACTTCAGTTGTTCATAATTAGTAAATTTTAGTAACTAGTAGGCAAATCACTCTTCAAAGATAATCTTTTGAAAGTTTCAGAAAAAAATTAACATATACACATTTATATTACAAATGCCACCAAATACTGAAGTACACATGGGGGGGGGGGGGAGGTTTTAAATAAATATCCACATGGTAATAAATGAATCAGTTAAAGTCTGAAATATATTCAGTCTAAAAATTTCCACAATGTATGTCAAAATTTTAAAATAACAACCTATTACAAAATTAGCTGCTTTGGTCAATATCCATCTAAAAAACGTTTATAAATTTATCTCATACTCAAATTAACAAGCCTCCGGAGGTTTATTACACAGGCTAATTCCAACCAGTCAGAAAATCCCAAGGAAGCAAAAAGCAAAACAATCAGTTCTTTACCTGCAGCTCCTTTGAGACTCTCTCTAAGTGATTAGGTATCTTTTTAATCAGATCACTATACATCTGTTCTGAGTGCTGCTGGCATACACATTTATACACACAACTGTAGGGTAAACAAAACAGAAAAACCAGGTTAATGATGAAGCATGTAATTCAGCCCAAGGTTAAAGCATACTCTGTATATACAGCCTCTGGTCAAATAACCAATTCAGATGTAAAAACAGTGACCAATCACTACTTTTAAATAAAAAATTTACCCTGCTCCAATCAGTGTTTAGATGGGAGAGGTATTACCACCAGCAACAAATAAATCTTTATGAGCACTCTACTGCACATTTTATCAATACTAGATAATTAAATATTTGGTGATAATCTGAGAGTCTGACTATGGTAACTATTTATAGACCAGCTTCTCTCTCATTTTAATGAATGTCAAAATAAGGAAGAGAGAGTGTTATGGGTAGAACGTTTCTAACTCACAAAAGCATTTGCAGTGTAACCTCTTTGTGCCTCACTTGTGTGGAACAACTCAGTTGTCACTTCCTCCTCTTGTGACTGGGCTGATCTCATACCCACCCCAGTTCCTCACTAATCTGCTGCTTCCGTTTACCAGGAGCTGGGAAACAAAATAACCTGAGAGTTAGAACTGTGTGGCACTAAACATCGGCAGATTAAGCTCAAGTCTCCCTGTGAGACTAAAAATACATATCTTGCCCTTTTTTGCTGACCTCCATCTCTTCTGCATTATATATGGCACGGATGGCAGGCTGAGATGGAGTTAACTCTATCTTGATTTGAAAACCAAATCTGAAGCAAAAAGTATAAATCAAACCTCCAATCCACATGTGTGTAACATATAAATAACTTAGAGCCTAATATTATATATTATATTACATATTACATATTATATATTATATGCATACATACTATCACACTCAAGCTGCCATGAACTTCAATATACCCTCTCAAACCCAGGCGAATTAAATCCACCTTACCTGTATATCTGTTCATAGGATATGGGGATATAGTCACCAGGACTCTGGGTTAAAAGCTGATCTATGGCACCATCCAATTTTGGCCAGTATGTGCTCTTATAATCTTCAATAGTTATAACATTCATTACTAAAAGTAAAAAGTAAAATAAATATTACTGTTACCACATGTAAACAAACAGGAATAGAGCAATTTTGTATCCTCAGTCAAATTTCTTTTAGATTTCACACTGACACTTTATCACCTAAATACAAATCAATTACTATCCTATTTCATAAAACAAAACAGCACCAAAACAGCCTGGTCAAGGATTCTAAGCAACATTAATTATGATTTTAAAAGGAATTACTATGAGTGTGTCCATCTTTAAAAACAAAACAAGCAAATATCACTGGTTTCCATAAGCTTCCGTTATCAGTGGAGCCACTCAAACATGCACTGACCTTCAAATACCCATTATAAAAAGATTCCTATCTGTGAGCCACAATAAGGTTATGGAACATCCCTGGGAAAATCTACCTAATCAATGAAAATTAAAGTCCACATTCTACAGTAATGCCCGGCCAGCTTGGCTCAGTGGCTGAACATTGACCTATGAACTAGAAGGTCCCAGTTCAATTCCCAGTCAGGGTATATGCCTAGGTTGTAAACTCGATCCCCAATGTATGTGTGTGTACTGGGGGGGGGGGGGGGGGGCGGCGCATCTGATCAATGATTCTCTCTCATCATTGATGTTTCTCTCTCCCTTACTCTCTGAAATCAATAAAATCATTTTTAAAAAATACTATAGTATAGTAACAAAAGAAGTTACTGAAAACCTACAGAGACTTACTAGTGCCTCCTAACATTACTGTAACTCTGATGGGCTCTTGCTATCTTACACTTTGGATAAGCCCAACAGAAAAAAGCATCAATGAACTAGAGCACATGTGTCAAACACAAGGCCCTCGGGCCAAATCCGTCCCGCCAGGCCTTGCAATGTGGCCCGCACCACGCTGTCATCACTGCACTCTGCTGCGTTTCCATCACAATGACAGTTTATGACTGTTCAGTAAACCATTCGGCCCACGATTTAGGCTGGATTTTAGATTTTGGCCCCTTCTCTGATTGAGTTCGACACCCCTAAACTAGAGCCTTACACTGAAGGCTTACCTTACTCCCTGGCTAGCTTACTCCTTCACTCCAGGTTTAATAAAGCATTTATCACAAGTGTCCTAACAACTCTGATATCCAAGCTGACAGCGATTTCACAACAATGAAATGAAGCTAATGTTAAAAAGAACTACCCAAAGCCTCTAACACACCTTATGTCTTATGAACTACCTCAGAAGACCAGACTAACAACTACTACATCCAGTATTTTATTGTTTTGCCAGAAACTGGAGAGCTCAGAGGTTGACTTCCCCAAGGGTCCATGGCTGATTACTGGCAGAGATACCAGGCAAAACAAAGCCTTTACCTAGCTTCTTTCTATCACATCAATTATTTCTAAATATTAGTCACTGAGCTTCAAGATGCTTCTCATCTGTTATTCTCCAACTCCAATCTATCTAAAATATTCAAATCGGAAGCACCTACTCAGCTGAGATGACACAGGTGTAAACTATTGTACACTAACCATATGCAAGTCAGCCACAGTTTTAGAATTCTGATTCCTGCAGGTTTTAAAAACAAGTAACCTTTCCATGGCATTAAGACCAGGAAAGTCTAACTTTGAGGCAGCAGTGCAAGGCAGGTGTGCTGAGGGAGAAACACCATTAAGTGCACTGACAGGTGTCCTGCAGGCCTCTGAGAAGGTCAGGGCTTGAGGACAGGATACAATGAGTGTGGATTAAAGGCAGAGAGAGCTGGTGGATGACAGGTAAAGACTGACTGGAAGACTAAACAGTAAAGAGAAGTACTGTTCGTGCAAAAAGCTGGAAGATAAAAGCCTGAAACTTTAAGACACAGATTCATAGTAGGGGTGGGGTGGGAATGGGGGTGAGAGTGTGTGTGTGTGTGTGTCAGTCACACAGGGCTTGTGGACTTAAGTCAACACCAGAAATGCTCAAATATCTAACCCTGCGCTTCTCTTTAATTCTAGAATGCCACCAGCCAGAAGAAATGTACTTTCTTTCCTGCTCCACCAACCCACCCCATCGTTGTCCCTTCAAATGGAAGGTCCTTCTTTACGGAAACTGAGCAATCCCAGAGAAAAGGCATTCACATACTAATATCTGGCACTTCCTGCACAGAACAGCAGATCTGCAGAGAAGCCCACACTTTTACTTGGAAAGGCCCCTCTCAAACCCAGAACTACCAATTAGCCTTTTTCACTTTTAAATATTAATAGAGCTAAAATCATCAAGATTTGCAAAGTCTCAGACAGGAGAGATCAAAACAAAAATTGATATGATAAAAACAAAGATAATTAAGAAAATAAAACTCTCCCAGAACAAAGCAAAAATTAACAAACTTAGAGAATCAAAACAGGAAATCAACATCTGACTAACAGTAATAATTCCAGAGAAAAGGGAAAACAGAGAAACTGTAAAGCGAGAAAAATATTGACAAATATAAAAACACTAGAGGCTGGATGCACGAGAATTCATGCAAGGGTAGGCTCCCCTTCCGCTGTCAACTGGCACCGCCTCCAGCAGCCAGCAGCCAGCCGCCAGCCGCCAGCCAGCACCCGGGACCCAGGCTGCTTCCCTCCTCCAGCCGCCCCGCAGGCACCTGGGACCCAGGCTGGCTTCCCTCTGGCCCCAGCTTTGTCAGGAAGGACGTCTGGAAGACATCTGGTCTAATTAACATATTACCCTTTTATATCTCAGAAATGTTCAAGGAAAAAAAAGTCAAATGGTATCTGAGCTCTCCATTCTAATACTGCAAGCTTAAAGTCAATGAAACAACATTAAAAAGTCCAAGGAAGAATGATTTTCAGTTAAGATTTCTATACACATACTATCAATCAAGTATGAAAGCAGCATTTTTTTATATACAAACTTATCCACACACAAATTCTCTCAGAAGATATGTTGTAAATACAACACACACATACACACATAACACACCAATAAAAAGGAAGACATCAGGTAACTATTTGGAAAGTCCCTGAGTAGCAACTATGCAAAGACCCTAAAGAATAATAGGAACAGGAAGACTCACAGCTTCACAAGCAGACAAAGAAAATACTGATTAACTGAGCATTGTGAGAACACCAGTGACAGATATATGGTGAATCGGAGGAAGCTGTTGCAGTGTTTTTAAGATGAGTTTGACAAAATCATTGAAGTATAAACAAGGCAACTTCCGAAGTTCTTTCTATGTGAAAGAACATGTAATCTGAGTCCACTCCTGGCCCTTGAGAAACTATTTGCATACTAATAATCATAATGTACTAGGTGTACCAGTAAATAATGCAGATTTTTTTTCAATAGATGGAGTTACACATATGTTGATATATATGCGATTTGATATGTATGCTATTTTTTGTATTCACAGCAAGCTTCACAACTTCATGTCAAATTTGCTGAAGGTGTTAACATCAGATATCTTTACGTTTAAAAATGTCGAATTTTGTGCCCCCCCCCCCCAAAAAAAAAAATACATTTGCGGGAAGTTTTAATTCATTACTTCATTTTGAAGAAAAAGTTATCGTATACTTCAGGAAGCTTACAGTGAACATGCTCCATCTCAAGATACTTGTGAACGCTGGTTTAAATACTATAAAAGCCATGATTTCGATGTGAAAGCCAAAGAACGTCCGGGTCAACTAAAAAAGTTTGAAGACCAACAATTACAGGCATTATTGGATGAAGTTGCCTGTCAACCTCAAAAAAAAAAAACTTGCTGCAGAAACCGGTTTGGCTCAGTGGATAGAGCTTCGGCCTGCGGACTGAAAGGTCCCGGGTTCGATTCCGGTCAAGGGCATGTACGTTGGTTGCAGTGCATCCCCAGTGGGTGGATGTGTGTGTGTGTGTGTGTGTGTGTGTGCAAGAGGCACCTGATCGATGTTTCTTACTGTCTATCCCTCTCTCTTCTCTCTTCATCTCTGTAAAAAAAAATCAATAAAATATATATTTTTTAAAAAAACTTGCTGAAAGATTAAATGTTGCTTAGCAAACAATTTCCAATAATTTACAAGCAATGGGAAAGATTTTTAAAGGAAGGAAAATGGGTGACATATCAACTGAATGAAAGAAAAATAGAAAGCCGAAAAGTCATCAGAAAAATACTGCTTCAATAGCACAAAAGAAAGTCTTTTTTGCATCGAATTGTGACTGGCGATGAAAAGTGGATTTCTTTTGAATCATGGGTTGATCCAGGTCGACCATCGATATCGACTACAAGGCCAAATCGCTTCAGAAGATAATGCTCTGCGTTTGGTGGGATCGGGAAGGTGTGGTGTATTATTAGCTTCTAAAACCAGGTGAAACCGTTAATACTGATCCCTATTGACCACAAATAATCAATTTGAACCATGCTTTTGATCATGAACAACCAGAATGTTCCAGAAAACAAAGTAATTTTGCCTCGTGATAATGCACCATCACACACTTCAAAACCAGTTAAAGACACGTTAAAAGATCTTGCCTGGGAAGTATTAGGCCTCCAGCCGCACTTATCAGACCTTCCTCCTTCAGATGACCACTTGTTCCAATCCATGGCACACGCACTTTCTGAGCAGCACTTTAAAACGTACGAAGAAGTGGAAAATTGGGTCTCTGAGTGGTTTGCCTCAATACAAGAAAAGTTGTATTGGGACAGTATCCACAAATTACCTGAAAGATGGTATGCTATGTGTAGCTAGCATTGGACATTACTTTGAATAAAGCACTTTCAATGTTTCTCTTCAAAGTATCATGTTTTCTTTGATTACAAAATCAGCCATTATTAACCAGTACACCTAGTAAATATGATCAATTGAACCAAAAAGTGGTATTAACTTAAGAGATGAGGTGTGTGAGAACTAAATCCTCACCTTAATGAGAAGTCAATAGGTAATATAAAAGTGATAAATTAAAGAATAACAATATTAACACATTAAAATGAGTGGATAAATATCAAAAGAAACAACTAAATGCATTAAAAGTAACTCTTAGGAAAAAAGTGATAAGTCCAGGAATGGAAGAGGCAGGGGAGGGAAC